TTTTTTATTTAATTACTAATTAGACACAATTCAAATTTTGAATTTACACATACAAACACAATTTCAAACTTTATTTCTTTTTCAAACCAAAAAGAAAAACTACGGGCCTGTTTAGTTTGTTAATTCGAGTTGAGATGTGACTTTATGTAAGAGCTTTTTACTGTAGTAAAAAAGTTAGATGTGACTATTTCTGAGAGCTTTTTACTGTAGCAAAATTTGAATTCTAAATTCGAATCGGTGAAATGAACGAAGCCTACATGTTTAACCCACACTTTTCAAACTAACACATTTTAAACAAAAATATTCAAACTACAATAATTTAAATATACAAACTAAACGAGACCTATATCTGACAATAAATACAAAGAAAAAATTGATACTTAGTACACAAGTACACGTACATATGATAAAGTTTTTCCTTGTATGTACCAGGCAAAAAAAAAAAAAAAAAAACTCTAATATTGCTGACATTAGCTTTGTTTGTATTTATTTACGGTAATATTAATAAATACTTCGGCATGAGTCAGGATTTTTATCTTAACCTTTTTAGTTAAATAATTACACTAATAAAAGGATATTTATCAAGAGTAAGGAGTAAAGTTTCAGACTCATACACTTTTACGGGTAAATTCTCCATTTTTTCTTTTATTCATATATGCTTAAAGAAGGATTTGGCCTGGATAATTTTGAGGAAAAAAATCATAAATACTATCCAAGATGGTAAAAAAGAATATCTATACCACTCTATTTAAAAATAAGGATAACTTTCAGTTTTGCTCATTGAATTTTAGTCTATTTATCACTTTGCCTCCTAAACTTTTAAAATTGGTCTGCGCACCCCCTGAACTTTGAAACGTTATTAACTTTGCCTTTTCTGTTAAGTTTATTAACGAATTTGATGATGTGGCCGAATTATTTTCATAAATGCCCACTGAAGTATGTACCTTATTTAAAAATGTCCCATGAGCTATGATAACATATCAAAATGACCTGTAGCTTTTGAAAAAAATATTAAAATAACAAATTCATTGATGCCATTAAAAATTAATTACACATTAAATTCTAATAAAATCAATGTAAGTGATTAAATATTAAAAATATAAAAATATAAAACACTTTACTTTAAAGAAATTCAAAAATTAAATAAATCAAATATTTTTAAAAATAAAAATAAAAAACCCAAAAGTAAAGAGGATTTTTTTTTTTGAAAAAACCTACTTCCTCTTTGTAAATATTTATTTAATTTTGAAAAATTTTCTTCTTTTCTTGTTTTGATTTTTGAAAAAAAAAATTGATTTATTTAATTTTTCAATTTTTAAATTAAAGTGTTTTATATTATTTTTAATATTTAATCACTTTTTTTATTTAATTTGAATTTAATATTTTTTTATTACTTTTTAATGGCATGTAATATTAACAACACTGTTATTTTATTATGTTTTCCATAAATTAGGGAGCATTTTGATATGTTTTAATAGATCAGGGGGCATTTTTAAATATGGTACATACTTCAGGGGACATTTATAAATATAATCTATTAAACTACTCCTCTACTAACTGGCACGTCATCAAATCTGTTAATAAAATTAATAGAATGTGCAAAGTTAATAACGTTTCAATGTTCAGGGTGTGCATACTAATTTTTAAAGTTCAGGGGGTAAAGTGACAAACATACTAAAATTCAGGGGGTAAAAATAAAATTTATCCTAAAAATAAATAATTGTAACAAAAGATCATAATCACACTCAATTGATTAGAATGATAACTCTATGTATTTTTATTTTAGAGTGTATTTTTTTCCTCTAAAAAGCCTGATAATATAAATTTATTTTTTTAATAATTGTAGTAAATAATATATTTTTTAAACAATTTTTAAGTGAGCAACACATCTTTGAAACGTTTAAATAAATAGCATATTTACTGGTAAATACAATATCCATTGATAAATACTCGATGTAAATATTACATTTACTAATAAATATAGTATTTACGCCACATAAATAAATATTTATCAAATAGATATACTATTTACTTAAATTGTCTAAAAAACATGTCATTTACTTAAAAACCATTTATAAAATATGTTATTTACCTCTTTATCTCATTTATTAATTTCTATTATGTGTTATGAACAAGATGAATCAACTACTAGGGATGGCAATGGAGTGGGATGAGGGCGGGTATGTTTCCCCCATCTAATTTAAAGTGGGATCAGAGGAATTCTCCCTAGGGCTGGTATTTCGATACTTTATTTGGCTGTCCATTTACCCATTAAGAGTTTCAAAAATTTGTAACACTATTAAAGTTGAAGTAAATTTCATTAAAGTAATTTAAAATTTACCAACATCATCACTAATATCTTGCAAAAATAAACTGAAAATAGAATCGAAACTCTAACAATCCACAAACTAAATTTGTACAAGAAACAAAAACACTAATGTCTCATGCATGTTTAAAATAAAAGTATATATAATCGGGTTGGAGGTGGAACGGGTTGCTTCCCGACTCCCGCCCCGTTCTCAACTCAAGGGATTAACTTGAACCCTCATGCCTGCACTCACCTCCATATAGTCTCTCCATACCCAAGGGATTAATTTGTAACCGCAAAATTTTCTTGGCTTACTCGTGATGCATTCCCAAAGGAACAACATTTATCCAATTCAAATGTAATGTGGCCTTACCTAGATCTTTAGTTACATTTGAAGAACTCAAATTTTTTATTTTTTATTTTTGTTGAAAGTTTTAGATGCATGCTTTTCTGTCATTCCCTTTGCATGCTTTATGAATTTAATATAACCTTATAAGTTATATATTCCCCTTTGAATTAAGCATTGTAAATGTCTTTATATAGTCACAAACATGCACTAAGAAGAGAAATAAACACGTAAAGAAAATGGGATTAGTGATTAAATGCAACCTTTTCATTTTGGGGGGAAAAAAGGAAAACTAAGGACATCACAAATTGGGTATGGGCCGTAAAGGATATGTCATGTATTGTAATCTAAAAGTTATTAATGTATGAAAACCATGATCATGGCAAATTTGACACATCTATATCAAATGATTAAAATGCACCAAACAGCTAGTGAAAATTTTATGATCTTACCTGCCACAAGAAAAACATAAAAAGTCCAATGAAATTCCAATGAGCTCTTATATGGGTTCATTTCTTTTCTTCAACATCATGCAGATTGAAATCTGATTCTTTCTCATTTCCTCACCTACCATATTGCATGTTACTCTAGCTAGCTGGCTTTGATCAAGGAATATCTCGGAAAATAGCACTGTAATTTTCAAAAATTTTATTATATTTTATTTTCCTTTTGTGGGTGAAAAGACAGTTGAGATCTAAAAACCCTAAAGGCATGCATTAAATGAGTCACTGATTTTTATTTTTGACTGCAACATTCAATGGATATTGAATAAGTACTATACTTGCATTATGTGATTTGTGAAAAGCATCAGAAAAAGATGCAGAGGCTACATCCATGCTTCGTCTTCATATTCAATAAATTTCAATAAACTGAAGGGGTAATGTGATCTTTATGATCATCTATACTTCGCTTAAATTTCCTTGATTTATTTTCAAGGGCTATGATCGTTTCGATTCTAGCTCTAGTTATGACATTCAAAATCTGTTATCCTATTTTTTTATGCATTAACGTGCTTTTCATTTGTTTGACAATTGTTAAGTGTCGATGATATAATAAATAAAGGGTGGAGAGACAACCAAATAGCAAAATGGGAACAGTAAATCGAAAGGTCCCTCTTTCAACAGGTACTCCCTGAACCGGCCTTAAAGTTTGCTAATATTGTTGGCCTATGGAGAGAACACACAAGGCAAAATCAAGATTCAATGCCGTAAAAGAAAACAGTTGTAAATTAGTAATGAAATTTGACTTATGATAAAGATTTTTTAAATAATATGTACTTTGAGAAAAAAAAAAGTCAATCAATCAGAGGATATGGGTGATCTAACTCGTGATTGGTCCAATTACTCATCCTAAGGGACGAATATATATAATGAATATATATATATATATATATATATATATATATATGTCAGCGATCATAAATTCACCTCCAGAAGCCTAGTTGATAAGAAGGCTGCTGATCTCGAGCCTAAAAAATATGCACGTTTATCAAGGACTTCAGAAAAATTGTGAAGGAGATATGCACAGTTTTTGAACTCATTTAGTTTGTTGATTTGAGTTTTTAATTTGAGTTGAGATATAATTTTATGTGAGAGTTTTTTACTGTAGTAAAAAAAAATAAAAAATTAAATGTGATTGTTTCTGAGAATTTTTTACTGTAACAAAACCTAAATTTTAAACTTAAATTGATAAAATAAACGAGAAAGTTATTTCCCTATTTTTTCAAAGAAGAGTAAAAGGAACAAAACAACAAACAAAACAAAAAAATAATAATAATAAAACCAAGCTTTGTAATGGCGGTCACCAAACAATACGACCTAACTCTCAATCTCATCTTTGTTGCTATCGATTCAATTAGCGATAAAACAGTGAGGACATGTAGAGGACATGTGCAATAATATTATAACAAAACAAAAGAGGAAACTCAAGTTGAGTGTGAATGAATTCTGCTTAGCTTGACTTGTCTAATATATGAAAAAACCAATTCTTATCCATTCGAAATTCTAAATGTTCCAATTCTTTGTTAACATTTGTTACATAGATTTTGAGTAATCAATGATGTCTAGTTTTCATGCCATAGGAATGAAAAGGAAATGCTCATATTATCATGTTCAATTGTGCATGCACATTAAGATTGTTTATAAAATCAAACGGTCGTTCCTTGGTTTTTCTTATCACTATACAAGAAACGAAAACAAAATAATAAAATAATTAACAAAGAGAAATGTTTAAAGAAATATTGAAATTAATTAATGCTTGCGGTGTGACCCCTTGGTGAACTTACCATCTTACTCCCCATTTAATGAGTCCTATAAATATATCCTCTGCTCTTCCCTTCCTCTTCCACACCTCTCTCTCTCTTAAAACACAAACTTTTCTCTTCCTTTTTACTCTTAAGACAAAGCGCATATCGAAAAAAAAAAAAAAAAAAGATGTTCTTCCCTGTGGTACTTCTGAAGCTAGCAGACTGGGTGTTGTACCAGCTGTTGGCGAATTCATGTTATAGAGCGGCAAGGAAGATGAGAAACTACGGTTTCCTCTTGGAAAACAACTCTTCTCTAAGGTCTCAACAACACCCTCCTTTGTATCCAGCAATATCCAAGTTTGTCCTCGAAAGTTCTAGAGAATCCGAAACTCTTGTCTCAGACTTCCATGGAGTTCTTCTCAGGTCCCACTCTTTCTTCCCCTACTTCATGCTCGTCGCCTTCGAAGGCGGCGGGATATTCCGAGCTCTTCTCTTGCTTTTATCATGCTCTTTCCTGTGGCTTTTGGACTACGAGATGAAACTCAAGGTCATGATTTTCATATCCTTTTGTGGGCTCAAAACCAAGGACATGGATAACGTTGGTAGAGCTGTTTTGCCTAAGTTTTACTTGGAGAATCTCAACCTTTTGGCCTATGAGGTTTTCTCTTCGGCGGGTTCTAGGTTTGTCTTCACGAGTCTCCCCAGGGTTATGGTTGAAGGCTTTCTTAAGGAGTATTTGAGCGTTGATGAAGTTTTGGGGACTGAGTTGCAAACTTCTGGTAAATACTTCACCGGTTTTGTGTCTGAATCTGGTTTACTTGTTAAGCACAGAGCTTTGAAGGAACATTTTGGTGATAAAAAGCCTGATATTGGACTTGGAACTTCTAGCTTTCATGACCAACTTCTTCTCTCCCTTTGCAAGGTAAATCACTAGTATACCGTTTCTTTGCTTTAATTAGCTCTTCTTTCTTTCTACCTTTCTTGTTTTTTTATTTGTTAATATGGGAAATGGGAATTATTGTATACATTTTGTTTTCTCAGATGACATTCATTTATGTGAAAACTTAGACATAGAGAAAGGAAAAAAAAAAATCATATACTACTTTGGGTACAATATTTTAGTTTCATGCATGTTATATCTACCTTTGTGCTTGTTTTAGTTTTACATGTAAGTCTTACACCTAACTCCATAATAAGTACTATTGCCTTGTCGACCTCTTCATGGTTAAATATAGAGTACTTGTAGAGGTTGTGTTTTACATGCAAGACTATTTTTCAACAAGTAAAGCAAAGGAAGTTAATGATTTTAGTTAAAGAAAATAACCAACTTTTGCTGCGATACATCCTTCACTTAAGGAAAAGTTTTCTTTCACACTTAAATTATCATCAATAAACACAATTAATTCTTCTCTTGGACAAGTACCAAACTAAACCTAGCAAACCGCATATATTCATAACTTAATAATATAATATTCATCTTTTCCAAACCGAATATATAGAACAAAGCGTGTGTCCAATATAAACGTACGTGAGTAGAAATTAATTTTCAGTCATTTTTCTCATTCTGCCACATGATGTTGATTGTGACAGGAAGGTTTCATAGTGAACGTGAAAGATCAAGACAAAAGCTCAATAATAATGCCAAGGGAAAAGTACCCAAAGCCCTTAATATTTCACGACGGAAGGCTTGCTTTTTTGCCCACCCCATCTTCAACTCTTGCAATGTTTTTATGGCTTCCCATTGGAATAATCCTTGCCATATTCCGGATCTCAATGGGCTTCCTTCCATTTACACTCGGAACCCCATTGGGAATTTATGCCGGTGTGGACATAACAGTCAAAGGGCCCACAAAATACGCTTCCTCATCATCATCAGACGGCCAAAAGGGGATCCTCTTCGTGTGCAACCATAGAACTCTTGTGGACCCGGTTTTTCTAAGCATATCATTGGCCAGATCCGTCACCGCCGTCACCTACAGCCTAAGCAAGATGTCGGAGATCATCGCGACGATTCGGACGGTGAGATTGACGAGAGACAGGGAGCAAGATGGGGCAACCATGAAGAGATTGCTTAGTGAAGGTGATTTGGTGGTTTGTCCCGAAGGAACTACTTGTAGAGAGCCTTATTTGTTGAGGTTTAGTTCTTTGTTTGCCGAGTTAAGTGATGATATTGTCCCCGTGGCTGTTACCACACGTGTGAGCATGTTTTATGGGACTACGGCTAGTGGGCTAAAATGGTTGGACCCGTTTTTCTTCTTCATGAATCCTAGGCCCGGATATTCCCTCCATTTTCTCGGGAAAATTCCTAAGGAAATGACTTGTGGGGGTGGGAAAACAAGCTGTGAAGTGGCTAATTATATACAGAAACAACTGGCTGACACTTTGGGATTTGAGTGCACAACTCTCACGAGGAGGGACAAGTATTTGATGTTAGCCGGGAATGAAGGAATAGTCGGTGATAACAAGAGAAGGAAACCCTATTTTTAAACCCCCGAAAAAAAAAAATGTTACTTTTCTTATATCTTATAACATATATTATATATGTGTAAGGTAATTTTCTTTCTTACCAAAATGTATTCTTTTCCCGGTCTCCTTTTTATTGTTCACTTATTTGGAAAAGGCTCGAGGACCAGTACTATATATTGTCTTTAATATTGTTTTTTACTTATAAATGTTGTGAATTAATTAATGAAGTGTCAATCGTGCCTTGATTTCTTTTCTTTGGGTTGTTGGTACGTGACACGTCTTGTAGTAGTACATATATATTAATAATGGCTTGAGTGAATGCTTAATTTATTTCAAAAGTACTCTTCGCTATTTTTGAATCTTGACATTTGGTCATTTTTATGTAGAAAAGATATATAGTGAGGTATTCAATATATATAAATGCTTTGTACATATGTATGTACCGGTACAACATTTACAACGAAAGATAAGTTTTAGGCCACCTATCAAGAATAATTGAGGCCTCATTTATTTCTTGATTGAATCCTGCGCTCGTGATTTACATAACAAACTTTATTATATTAAATTTAAAAGCCAAAACGGGTTGTTTAAGTTCATAGTTCCAAAGGTGTTAGCTGGAGAAAAGTATCTTTTACTATAGAAAAATATGGATTAACTAATAAACACAATACAAAATCTATCAATCTATCGCTGCTATGCAGTTATATTTTATCTTTATTATTTATTATTATTTTTAGGAACGGAAGAAGTTCATGCTAAAATTCTGAATGATTAAGCTAAAAGAAAGAACTAGCTGTGTCACTCTTAATTAAACACTCCACTTTCTATTCACGGGCGTGATCACAGGCCAATTAGTAGTAGTAGTGCGTAGATTATTCAAGTAGCTAGGTCACAAGCTGCTATTTTGGGGTGTGTAGATAGATCAGTTTGTAGATAATTTATGTAGCGTACATACAACTCAGCATATTTTTCATGATGTTTGCAATACATGCATTAATTTCGGGTTGGCAAATTAGGTTTTTTGATATCATGATTCTGGATAAAAACATATTCATCCTTATCACATCCTTCGACATCAATCATCAAAATTTTCATTTCTTCTTTAGTATATGGGTTCAAATCAGGATTCAAATTATGATTCTGAATTATAACTTTTAAAATTTAAATTTTTTGTAAGAAAAAACACTGTAGCAAAACTAAAACCATGGTTTGCTCTGTAACAGAATCCATCTACCAAAATCACCTTAGTTTAAATATGGTCCTAAGATTTATCCACAGTCTCACTTTGAACCCTAACATTTAAAACGTCCCACAGTTGGTCCATGATATATTACTCTTTTTAAGTTTGGTCCTTCTGTTAACTAAGTGTTAAATACTTGCTGAAGTGTGTGTAAATGATGGACTAAAATTAAAAATATCTAAAATATAGCGACTATTTGTGAAAGTTAACTTTTGTTTATTAAATTATCTTAATCCATAAACTTTAGATGTTTTCAATTTTGATCGCTAATTTATACAAATTCTATCAAATGTTTAACACCTAATTAACAGAATGACAAAACTAAAACAAAATAATAGATTAAGGGTCAATTGTGGGACATTTTAAAAGTCAAGTACTAAAATGAGATTGAGAGTTTAGTGGGAATTATAGTTTTAACTGTGTGTATTGATATGATGGTTGTAATAAATTGAGTAGTTCATCAAACAAATGTATAACAATTAATGAGATTAAATTCTTGTCTCATTCAAATTTTTATATTTGATAGATAACCACTAAAAACTCGTTCATACATATCATACATATGTGGACATCGAGTTTTTAATAATCATGTTTTTCATCCATATTACTCATTAAACAATCTACCATGGGAGAGAACGAACTACCTGAATAGAGTCGCTCCTCCACTGTACTGATCCATAGTCTAGTATCCATTGGTCGCGTGCCAAACACTCTACTTGCTCTACAAAAGGAGAATGCAAGCCTGTGATCCTCTTCGCCACATAGCACGCACTATCGACCTTGAGAATATTATTTTAATTTAGTTTGGATAAAATAGAAAAATTTCAGAAACTAAAAAATATAATATAATAATTAAATTAGAAACTAAAAATTTTACGTGGGGACACACTAGTCCAAAAAAAAAACTTAAACAAATATTGTATGATCCATTCTGACCATTAATATAACTATAATTTATTAGAAGTCTTTCCAATATTGCGGAAATAACATGACAATTCAAGCAATGCCATAGCATATGTACTGTATATTTTGGTTTAGAAAACATTCGTATCGTGCAAGTTGAATTTATTCACAATACACTTCGGTTAATACTTAATTGAGTATTAAAAGAAAGAAAAAGTAGATATGATGGCCCAAAGTCGTTTGATTATTTGATTTGCCATAGATCGCGTTGAGATGTGTGCATGTGATAACGTGATAATAGGAAAAGGTTCTGTTTTAGCAATGAATTTTGATCATGATAGACGTAATTTGATTTGAAAAACATTCAATATTGGCTTGGTTCAATGCAGAGCAGCCTGACCCTACGGGGACAAATTCGATGGTCCTCGCAATATTGTTACCACCTGGCACCAACAATCTATTCTACTGTTGGTAACATTGAAAGCACTGACTTTGCTCATTCAATTCTTCACTCCTCATCTAATGTCTCTCATTCAAGATAGAAGTGAAAGTTCGGGTCACTCGGACTGAGTACGACGGTCCGAATGAGAATTTTAGATCGGGTCAAGTTTAAAGAGAAGAAGGTCGGTTAAGCTCAGTTTTAAAGTCTGACGGGCCTAGCCGATTCAAAATGTGTCAGGTATTTTTAAGAAATTTTTTTAAAAAGGGTATTCGTGTCGACCCGATCCGAATAAGGTTTCAGACTCGAAACTTTGACCTGACCCGACTCAGGGGTTTGGGCCAAGCTGGCCAAAACATTAAGTGAACCGGGTCAGGACTGGGACAAGGCCAACAGTGTCAGACCTCAAACCTACCTGTTTGGTCCGGCTTAAACCTTCATCTCTAGTTCAAGGTTTCAAGCATTTTGTGCTTGGTATCCCTCGTTCTACCTAGAATCCTCAGATAGAAACTAATCATGGATTGCTAAATATAAATAATTTGTAGTTAGTAGACTTTTAATTTAATTAGTTTGGTGATACTTGTAGATGATGTTGGAGTTGTTCAAGTACAAAGTAAAAGAGTATACTTTTCATTGTCCCACCCAGAAAGGCACAAGGCTTTTGAGCACTTTATAAAGGGTCACACATTGTTGTGCGCTATAAAAATACTAATTAAGGAACACTTCCTGATGTGCATGTGAGCGGTTACTTGTCAAATTAATTAAATTTAAATGTTCTTATTTTCCTTTTATGAGTTTTAATTTGCTTAGTGCAAATTCACCAAAAGCCTATCAAACCAAGAAGGGGTAAATAAGCCTTTAAAAAAAGCGTGTCGTATCTCATATATGTATTTCAATTCTTCGTGCGCCAAATTTCCGACAGATGATGCTCAACTTTAAAAGTTAGATCATATATATTGATAATGATCTATGCTGGGAGAGTGCGAACAAAAATTTCAAATTGTCTAGACATGAAACAAATGATGAGTTCAAAAGGGCTTTGAGCTATTAGTGTGCCAATGTCAAATTTAAATATTTGAGTATGAAAATCACTCTAATCATTTAGTAAATTTAATATGTCATATTGTGTCCATAATCTGGCACCAAGTATAGCCTATGCTAAAATTTTGCATTTAAATTCATTAATGTATTGACCTTTTCGTTTATGACACGTTTACTTATCAGGATTGAGGAATGAGAGTGAAGAATGAGAATCAATCACATGTTTTACTTGCTCTTTTTTATCCTGTAATGGGAGTAGGATTGGTGAGCCCCACTCAAATTTAGAAATTAAAGAATGAGATTGGCACTCTCATGCCCCTCTTGAGATTTGAACTCTCATTATTGATATTAACATTAAATTACTATGATACCTCTATTTTACTTATAAATATAGAATTCAAAAAATAATAATTACAACCTATATTTACTATTTTATTTGCCTACTATTATAACATTAGCCTAGTTATTGTTAATTTCCGTATAATAAAATATGTACTTTATTTTGTTTAATAAATTAATAATATATTTTAATTTTTTAACAATATTTTTAATTTTTGTTTATTTTATTTAAATTTTGACAATTTATTTTTATATTTTAAATAATTGTACAACTTATATTTATTGTTATATTACCCTATAATTATACTAAATATATTAATTTTAATATAATAATTACACAATTTATTTTTTAAATTAAAAGTATAAAATTGACTTAAAAGGTATAATAATTTTACACTAGTTCATTCTGATTTTGGTTGTAAGTAAACACATTAATGAGATTTGGAGTGACTCCGATTCTGAATTCTGTCACTAAGTAAACAACCTATTCTGATTCTGATTCCTAACTCGGAATCCTGCCCACTCCGATTCAATGCCTCTTTTGATTACGCGTAAGTAAACATATTATTAATCATTACAATATTATCATTTTTTTTTTTAAATTACTTTTGCAAGTTTTTAAGAACCTAATAATTATATAACATTTCAAATAGCATTATATATTAGAGCATAAAATAAAATGACTTATCGGTACTCATTTTCCACATCTTTCAGAGCCAGGTAACATTAATTGCATTTGCATTGAAAATATAGTCTAAGTAGTACACATTTCTAAATGTCAAATTACGTAAAAGTTATGTGAGAATCATATAGTATTTGTAAAATTGATAGAATCCAAGTAAAATCTGCGTAATAATAATGATAAGATTTTTTTTATATACTACTGTTTTTAATGGTACGTTTTCACGGTGATTACTTACTAAATATACAAATTTAATGTGTGGCATGATAAAAAAATCTAATTTTATTAATTAAAATAATTATTTTGATCAACTATACAATTTATTATAACTGTCGTTTGTCAAATTAATATCTTGTAAATAAAATAACGATATAAATACTCAATATCTTACAATTAAAATAACAATATCTATTATTGAATACATATTAGAATAACAATTAAAATCATACCCAAATGTTCAAGAAAAATACGTTGAATTTTTTTTCCTCGAAATTCGGAAGGTAAGTTAAATTAATCCAATAATTCGATTTCACTGTTAAATGAACAGTACTAATACTAAATACGCACTTCGATATTGAATTGTAGTGAAAGTAAAAATCATGGCCCTCTTTCAACATCCAATTTATTCAAGTGTATCCAATATTCGAGCACA